TAGAGGGTTTCTTCGATACAGGCTTAGTCGTGATTGCTATCAAACATAGATTCTCTATTTGTTTAAGATGTATGTATTTAGTGTTCACTGCTGAGGTTTTTTAAACTTTAGTTTTTTTCCTTTTTCATTGCATTGCACCCAAAAGGAAATTGATTCAATATAATCCAGAGTAAGAAAAATCCGTAAGAAAAAATATGTTAATTTAAGTATTAATGTCCTTTAGTGATATCAACAAATGTTTCTTGGTGAACTCGTTAGTTCACATAGCTACCTTAAAAGATGATATAATATTGGAATTCAAATCACAATAACTGCAATTTCTTTCTACTCCATTGTAGTTAAAAAAAACAAAAAAAACAACAACAACAACAAATGTTACCTGGTTCCTGCCATTAAAGAATCTACCAATAATGAATGATATATACCTATATTTAAACTGGAGACTCATGATCTCGAATATCCTCCACCTCTTTACAAATTACAGCAACATAATAAAAATTCCCTGGTTTAACTGCTAAATGTATAGCCCCATCAAGAAGATGAGTTGCCAGTTCTTCAAGGTGGTATTCCCGAGTAACAAGATCCCAGTTATAGCTATCATTCACCCGCGGCAAAGGCAGACTTGTCACACCTGCATTTTGTTGAATGATTTTGCTACTTGTATCATTTTCTAGAGATACCAACATTTGCATCCTTTTCAGCAGCAAAACGAAGTCCTCTTCACTCTTCACCAGGCTAAGCCGTACATATCTGCTTTCAGCGCCGAACAAGCTACCATCACGTCCGGTTACATTGACAGAGTTGAGCTAGCACGGCGTTGCAGTCTTTATCCTTTTCTCTGTCACACTTCAGCCGTTCAAAAGCTGCCATTGAAAACAAGCTAGTTGTTGAGATTACAAGTTCTCGTGCTTATAGTAGCGGATTTAGAATTTTTTTCAGAGTTCACATTTATAATATAAATAAAAATTATCGAAGATTTATTAATTTTAGATAAAATGTGTAGAGGAAAAATTTGTTTTTCAATTTTTTGTGATGTTTTCTTTGGTCATATGTGATGGTAAAAGAGTTAATGATTACCTGGAGAAGGTGTTCTGACCTTTTGGGAGAAAGAACAGCGCTGAGGCTCTAGTTCCTGGATTGAAAATCGTTTGGAAATGGACATAGTTTTGCTCAACTTTCTCCGACAGTTCCTCATTGTTTTGTATCCGAAGTGGAGCATTTCCTTTACTTCCTTTTCAGCGGCTACTTTTAGCAGCTTCAGAACTTTTAGCTGAGTCTCTCGAGGAACACCATAGGTGCTTAGACTCATATATGTTAACATCCTTTGATACACAGCCTCATCTTTTATTATTGTCCATCTGCAAAAAAAAAAAAAAAAGAAAGGTAACTTATAATTGAGAATTTCTAATGTTTATAATCATCAGAAGGATAGAAAAAAAATTCTTACCCGGATCTGCTTCCGCCATGTCCTGTAAGCGTGGAGAGAGAGAAAATCATGAGATCTTCATCTGCTGGAGCTGGGATTGGTGTATAATGTGGCCAATGGTAAGCAAGATCAAGGATTGTCTTGACAGATGGGCCTTGAAGAACTGCCTTATTCAATTTGCCATCAGGATTGTTTGGAGAAGTCACAAGCTCGATAAAATCCCCTTGAGAATCTCTTTTGTTCTTGTACAACGAAGTATCTCCTCCGAACATATAATCCTCAGAATTGAAAAACTCAGTTTGTTCCCTGTAAACCTGTTATAATTGCCAATTGAATCACCTGAGGATTACAATTTAAAACGCATCAGCAAAAGCTATGAAATCTTGAAGTATTAATTGGGGCCTCAAACCTACAGGATAGTATGGGGTTGAGGCTACGACTCTTGAAGGTGAAGATGGATCATTAGTGGAGAAGGAATGCACTGCTGCATGAAGAAGCTGGGTAGCACCGGCACCAAAAATAATGAATCTTCCGTCAGTGACTGCATTTCCAACGACTGCGTAAAGTTTCCGAATTTGGGTCTCCAGCTTTTTTGAAATGAGATAACCATCGTTAAATTCGTAGCTCATCCGATGCCATCTAGGAAGTACAATGGTGGTACTGGCTGCATGCTTTCGCCAAAAGGGCTCCAAAAACATAGGATCTCCACTGCAAAACAAATGAGTCAAACCTCAATCGCTTTTTTGGTGCAAGATTCTCAAATACTGATAACTCTAAGTTCACATTCTCTGCAATAGAAAGAGTAGCCAAATTACCTATCAGCGTCGGCGATACATGCCGCGAAGAATTCGGAGCAGTCAGGGCCTCCATAGCAGGCATTACACTCACAAACAGGTTTTCCAGCCATAATTGATCCATCCAAGAAAGCTCTTCCATGTCCTGAACATGAGATGGATGCCACAGCTTCAGCTTCTGCAGCAGCATTTTTAGTCCAACTTTGCTCCGACTGGCCATGGAAGTACAGGCTAACAAATATCAGATTAAGTATCATGGAACAACTTAGAAAAATTGTACGCTTGAAGCTTGTAATCTTAGCCATGTTTTCCCTCTTTTTTCTTTGTAGTCACTCCTAAGCTTAACCCTACGTGTCAAAGGCAGAAAGATGTATAGCTGCTTTATATGGTGGTAGCAAACTAGCAATGCTGCTTCTGCTACTGATTAATTAGGATCACGTTTAAAATGAAAAACAAACTTTGATTATTAAATTTTACAAGACCTTTTGGACTTTCAAACGCGGTTTAATTGTTTATATAAAGACGAAAGAAGTAAAAAACAATATATATATATATATATAAACAAATCAATGACTCCAAGTAAAAATATATAAATGTGCATGGTAGATAATAACATGAAACTTTCTACCTACAAGAGGTTTGTCTAGTAGTTAATAAGGGATTCGATCTCCTTGTAAATTTGGATCCGGTTTTTGTAAAAATAAAACCTTAAATACAACAGGGTCAATATAAAAATATGCATATTTAAAATATTTTTAAAAAATTAAACTCAAACGAAACTTAAGGATACCAAATTAAAAAAATAAGAAGAATTATTTAGTACACTAATAATAAAATTTTTTAACTCCACAAATGAAGTTAAAATGAAAACACTTATCTCATTTTTTTCTTTTAATTAATTTTTTTAAACATATAAGGGACATGTCATAATTTTAATCCTACTTGTAAAATTAAAAAAATTTACTATCATCAATGTATTTGATAATTTCTCAAAAAATAATATGAAACTTTTTAGCTATAGTAGTACGAGGTATATATGCTTTTAAACAAATGAGAAATTAAACATAGTTGACTCCGAAATCTTCTAGGAAAGTTGGTTTGAGGGTTAATATAATTAGTTTAATCACAAAAGAGAAGTTAGGGGGAAGAATCCTCTATTTTTGCATGGCCCTCTTGTAAATTTATTTTGTAATGCCCCCAATGCCTAACCACATTTCAATACTTTGTTCTTCCTAACTTAAACCTTTATATATATATAAATAAATATATAAATATATATATATATATATATATATATTCTTCCGGGTGAGAAAACAGAAAAAAATTAGGTACACTTACCATCTTCATTTAATTATATAAGTTACTGGAGTTTAACATTTATTATTAATCACTTTATTGTAATCTCTTTTATGTATAAAAAAAAATTATTGTTTAGCTTTTACTTAACAAATTGAACTTTCATCGCTTTACTAATAAATTTCTATATCATTACATTTTAATCCCGTAAGTTGGGAGCTGCTTTTTTTTTTTTTTTTTAACTGTATAATGTTACATATTTATTACGTAAAGTTGAACGTATAATTTTGTAGGCTCCATAATTTTTTCTTTTGTCAATATAGGCTCAATACTTTTTTCTTTTAACTAATATAGGCTCAATAATTAGATATTGTTATACTTCACACCCCCCCCCAAAAAAAAAAGGGTAGTGCTAAATTGTCCACATTTAATAGAGTAAAAACCATGTGTGTAAATAACGTAAGTTTTAAGAACAAATATTTTATGTCTCATTCAAATTATTTAGACCAATCTTTTATCTTTTTATTGGCCTGGATCAATATATTTTTAGACTCTATCATTTTTCATTAAGATACTAAAAATATTTACCTGAACGTTATTGTAGGATAAATATTTTAATTTGAATTATTTTAAAATTTTGAAATATTTACATATTCTTTTACCTATTTTAACATATGTTAATATTAATATATCATTCACAACATCTATATGATTGTAATTAATGTTAATTAAATATATTTTATTTATTCATAGTATTCATATTATTATTAATATAAGTCTCTCGAGAGTTTTTTTATATATAGTTAATGTAACAAAATATAAGGTAAAACATGAAATTAACGCTTAAGCATTTTTTTTTAGTAATAAGTAGTAAGGTTATGTTAGTACATAAGATGATGAATAGGATAGGATGATAATTACTCTATAGTATGTTTGATTTATATTTAAAGAAAGGAATAAGATTATAAGGAGGATAAATTATCTTTTGAGTATAAGATAATTCAATCCTTTCAAGTGAAAAAGATTATTTTTAATTTATGATATTGAACTTATATGTCTTATTATACCCTTAAAAATTATATCAATAATTAAAATAATATAAATTTTAAGAAAAAATAATTTTGATCAATAAATAAATTATTTTATCTTAATTTTTGTATATACTAAACACAAAATAAAATGATATCATTTAATTTTATTTTATTCATAATATTATTTTATTATATCTTATCGTAGTTTTTATACCTCATATAGAGTGGCTGATGCTCCGATCTAAGTGTAATTGGAATTGAAATTTTTACTACGTTGAGTTTGAGAAGTGGTGTTTTTGGACATGCAAGGTTTTGATTAGGGATGGATTGGCTGGTGGCTGGTCTTTTCGGCATGGTGTTGGTTTACTTTAACACATACAGGCCACGGTATCTAATTTTTTTTTAATTAAGCGGTAAATGATTCTTGGATTTAGTCGGTGCATATCTCCTTAAGCTAATTGAAGCAAATTTATTTCTTCGTGAAAAATTATTTTGTTTCCAACAAGCTAATTTGAACTCAGACTACATAAAGAGAAACACATACTCTTTTTGTTAGTTACTTGAACCATCCCTGAAGTATCCACACTTTCCAATTGTTCTTTAATTAAACATCCGGTATTCACTAATCAACCCACACTTCAACAATCCTTGCAAAACATAATAGGAAAATTTGTGACAGTCATATTGAAAATTATTTGTCGAAAGAAAGATCTCATGTGGGACTAATGCAAGAGGCTCACTTTGTCATTCAAAAACAACAGAGAGCTCCCTCAAGCTTAGGGAATACCTCAACAAGACAAAAGCAGAAAATAAAGAGTCACTGAATAGCTTCAAGAAATTTAACTAAAACATACTCTGAAGTAACAGATAAAAACTAGAGAAATTTAACAAGATACCAGTTATCTGTGCAAAGGAAAGTAATATCTGGTCTATCAATAAAAGTTAGTTTTGCTTGAGAGAAAATGACTTCTGATTTTCTGGGTGCCGTTCCGCAAGCAATTGCTTTGTCTTTTCAAGAACACCGAAGAAAATTGAGCCACCAAGACCTATCCACAATACCCTTGGTCCAATGCCCTGAACAAACAATGGGAAAAAAAATAAAAATAAAAAAGGTGAATCTGCTGCAATCTTCAATTAGACGTTGAAATCTATCTACATTCACAAGTTCCATTGCCATGACAATTATATTTCCACGACCTTTTATCTGACAGTTTCAAGCTAGCAAGGATTAGGGAAAATTTTGACCACACTTTCTCGGTTTTGTTAACAAAAGGAGCGCATTGGAACAATCTGCTAAAATGTCATGATCTTTTGCCAGGTTAAGAAAAGGGCCAAAATATTCTTTGATCATAGCAGGAAGAGATAAAAGTATAAGGAAAGATAAACAATTAAAATAATGTTCAACAAACACAGGGATAATAAATGTTCAAACCTTCAAAAGAGCATGACTTCCTTCTTCTTTCATTATAGTCCTTACACAGTCAAAAATCCCTTTGTACTGCTTTGCTGACCCCTGCAAAGAATATAAAGAAAGTTAGAGATTTGAAGGAGAAGAAAAAAGAAAATTAATGCCTTTCACCAAATAAGAAGGACATTGACCTGGACCATTAATCGAGTTTTTATCACATCAAGAGGAGTTGTTACAGCTCCAGTTATAGCCCCTGAAGATGAATATGTTAGACTTAGGAGATTTATCATGGAAGCAGACGGCAAACCATTGTACATATGTACAGTACAAGATGTACATGGAAGTTATCAGTTATGATGGGCATATAGGAAACATTATGAAAGTATTTATGACTCCCATGACTCTTATAAGGAACAGAAGTACTACAAAATGGGTTCTCCATTGATATGCAAAGCACCATTTTTTTCTCCAGACAAGAATGAAATCTTAAACAGGGCAAAAGGATTAAGAACTTGTCCAAACTCCTATAGGTAAAATACTCTGTCTTGCACCATTATCTGATTGGAACTCTTTGAGGATTTCTATCCCTTTTGCATCATAATTCTTGTGATAAGAAAATAATAACAGTAGGTTTTCAGGAATTATGATCAAATATACACCTAGCTGGCAATAGTAATACGCTAATAGTCTATTACTAACTATAAATGTAAGACCAAATTTAAGATATAAATAATAGAAATCTGAAACTTCTAACAAGACTCATTTACCAGCAAAAGCACCAAGTATGGCATTCTCAGGATCATTCAGGTCTCTTTGTGCCTGTATAAAAAGGCAAATAGAATTTATTTCACAATAGTTTCCTGGTTTACCACAAATGAAAAATGGCAAAGTGAGGATGCTTATTTGGGTTCTCTTTATATGATATAAACTAGACAATGTTGATCAGCAACATAATGATTGAAAACAGTATATAAATGAGTAAAATGAAGTTGCTGAAGTTCTAAGAGTAATATTTCAGTGTCTTCTAACTCAATGAGGTTTCCTCTGTTATAAAATAAAGAGATCGCACAGTTCTTGAGGACAATCTCTGGATAGGATCAAAACTGAGCGCCCTTACCCTTGCTGTATGGAGAGGCTTTGTCCTCGGTTACACAATAATGGAAAATCAATTAATTTGGGATACAGTTGCAAACATTTTAATCTATTGTATTGACTGATTGAGATTTAGAAGCAAGCACTTTCTATATGAATGTCAAAGAGTAAGAAACACGGTGCTTACTCCACGTTTATATCCTATCCGGAGTTGTTCGTAGATGCAAAACTGGATGGCATCAAAGGGCAAATCTCTCAATAAGAAGGATCCATACCCCTACAATTTCAGAAAGAGAGGTTAGGACATATCCACCAAGATAATCCCACAGAAAATTGCATTCATATACACAATAACCACTAGCTGCCACCAAGCAACAATCACATGCATAAAAAACACATACAATTTCGGAAACTGATGATTGTAATGATCCAAAATACAATATCAGACAACTCTTTCAAAATACTGTTCATAATCGAAATGCAACATCACAGCCTTCTCTTTTCTACTAAGACAAGATTGCACAGCAGAAACTATAAGACTGACATTTTGGGTTGAATCTCAAGAATGAAGAGTCAAATGAGAAATAAGTTTCCATACCGCATATAGACCTTTAAAACCCTCTTTAGCAACAATAAGGCGTACAGCAGCAGTGGCAGAAGAAAATTGCCCAGTTTGCATCCTTTGCTTAACAACCTGTAAAATGTCCAATGAGCACAAGCAAGTGATAGAGGAGAGAGAGAAGTGAATGATGAGAAATAAGTGAACCTAATTACCTCTGTTGGCACTCGAACAAGGGAAGAAGCAGCACCTCCTAGAGCACCTGCAGTCTGAATAAACTCTTAAAACCAATTTATATAGAAAGAAAGCCACCATCAGTAGATCAAAACATGATAATACTCTCTATCTTTAATAAAAAGGGTCTGATATTGGGTATTATAGAGTTATCACATTCCATACCACCGTTAACAAGCAACTAGACAGAATATGTTGGTACTAGGCAGACCAATTCATGAAGGTTAGGTAAAAGTCTACTACATATTTTATCAGCAGGTTCAGATATTGGACTAACAAATTGAGCCCATGATGCCCAATCTCTGAATCTCTTTCTGTTCTGATATTTCCAACTCTCAATTTGTGTATGAGAAAGAATAATGAACCCCATTCAGGTGTATACCTATCTAGTGAGTTTATTCACGGCATGACAATTAAAAGGATTTAGAAGGGAAAATTTTGAAAATGAAGAAGAGCTCTATAAATTATTTTTATCTTCAAAAATCTAAAAGCCAAAAGAAATATAGCTGAGAGGAACCATAAACAATTTAGAACTGCGAAGTCATTGAAGCAAATTTTATTGGAACCCATCCACCAATTTGCTACTTGTTAATAAGAAAACTTACCAAATGAGCAAAAGCACTCAGGTTTTCAGGGAATGCCTTTAACAATTTCTGCTTTGCAGGTTCATAAACACCAAGAAATATAGCTGAAGCCCTGTGGATAAAAAGGTCCATCAGCCCAAATGCCAATCAACCAAAAAGAAATTCTTGAGAACAATTGAGAGCTAATAAGAATTGCAAATTGAGGGTGCAAAAGAGGTGAATCAATTAGGAAAAAATAGACTTCTGGAATTGTAATATAAGGGTTTGTTCAGATGAAGTTACCTGGCACAAATTTTAGTTAGTTTCACAAGAAAATTCTCGGAACTACACTTTAATAGAAAGAACATACCATATGTGAAAGAATATAAACCTTTGTTTTCATGGATGAAATAAGATGGATTATAAAAATTTTCAATTGCATACTCACGGCAAAACCCCAGCAAGGTTTCCACCCAATCCAGAATAAAGACCCTTTAAAATAATTTTCCCTCCACCACGGGCTGCCTAAAATGAGAACAGTGGATTATGAGCACTAATCATAGAGATTCAAAGAAGAAACAGATCTTGTAAGTAAAACATTAAATAATTATGCCAAAAGTTAAAGAGTACATTGGAGGGAGGCTGATAGGAAATTAAGGCGAAAGAATTGTGGAAGAAAAGTCCTTAAATAAGAACATCTTTTGTGTCTTCTGCCCTTAATTTATTTTCTATATAATTTCTTTCCAGAGGAAAAACAATTACAGTAAGGTAAAAGCTTGATTAAGAGGAATAGGTAGTCAAACAAAAGATCTTTATGAACTAAACATTAAATGTGAATGAAATGGTGCTTCAATCTTCATCATTCTAAATTCTTAAGTAAGAAATGTATTTAACCGCAAAGCAATAGTGCTATAAGACTTTTAGGATAGATTAAGGTGTTATAGAATAGTTTATAGGATAAATCAGGCACATGTGGTAGAAATAGTCTCAGGACTACCATCCCTGTAATTTCATAATCAACATACATTAATGTGACAGATCTAAACTTATGAAAATAAGATATTGTGTTTTCCATTAGAACCAACCTAAAAAAAAAAAAAAAAAAGGCGTTAAGATGCAATTTCTTTTTTCAAAAGTTGTAGCTAGTTTGAAAATATGAAAGAGGATTTATCTCAGCATACGGCAATTATTAAAAACAGAACCATCAAGTCAACTCACCTGCAGTCGGGTTTTTATTGTATCAATTGGGTATAGAGTTGCTTCCACAACAACACCAGCAGTAGCTCCAGCTATTACACTCTCTGCACAATGCATAACAAATCTTTAGAAAGATCTGCTTCCGACCATGCTAAAGTTTAATAAAAGAGATATTTATCAGAAACCTAATAAGGACATTTCTCACACCTGTTCAGGATCTTAGGGAAAAACTGGAAATGTAGGGACCAGATTCAATACCATGGAAGGAATTCAGAACACTTGCTCAATATGTATAACAAGCAAGCAGTGAATTCTCAAAAATAGAAAACAAGATAGTGACAAAAATTTGAAGAAAAATATTGCAAGTGGAAAAAATACAAGCTCTAGTTTTACATTGAAACCCAAACAAAAAAATGATTTGTAAATGATTTCTCAAAAAAACATATATTCTTATGGAAGCAGGTCAACCACCTTAGAAGCAACTAGCTACCAAGAAGCTGAATTATCATGTAAAATAAGCAAACTACTTTAACTTATTAGCAAAACAAAGAATGGGAAAATTTTTTTGTTTGGTTACTTCTTTTACATTAGAGTTCCAAAGAGATAACTTTAAGCTAAAATGAGCAAACAACTCTAAATTATTAGCATGACAAATAACTTTTGTTTGATTACTTCTTTCATGTAGACTTCCCAAAAGCATTATAAGCAGCTAACTAATTTCAATATGCAGTGTTGTATTAAATGTGGTCATTTCCATTTCCTTAGTATAAATATAACCTGACAAAAACCTCAAATCCAAACTTTAAACCATTGGAGTTGCAACGACCTAGGATAATGTTTAAGGTTCTTAGAAATGTTTTTATTCATTACTGTAATCCTGCAAATATAGCGGTCCATAGATGAAATGGAACCATGTTTTTTTTCTGTTCCATTAAGGGTATATCCAACCATCCCTCTAAGATCAGAAAGTTTCCTGATCAAAATTCTATTGCACTTGAATTTCAATCCCATAACTCTTTTTTGAGGTATATCTGCACTAAATGCAAGTGAGTTTAATCACTTTATCTAACTTCTTCTGTCAGTGGGAAGAAAGTTTTATAACAAGCATTTCAATAATAAAAAACATTCCCCAGCTCAAATTAGCTTAAAACAAAATTACATTTGAATTCATTTCATGTTTCAACTTTCAAACCTCTTCAACAGCTTTTCTTTACATTCCTAATTATAAGTTATAACCCAAGTCTGAAAGATCACTAATTATCACTCGTTCTAAGTCGCTCGATCAAACAGTAAGTAATCACCATTGATGAATCTCAAGCATTAAAAATGAGTAGAACAACAGATCGAAGAGTACAAATGTAATTATAGATTGAGATTACCATAAAAAACACGAAAAAAATCAAACGGGTTTTCATCTCCTACACGAACTGAACCCAACAACCTCTTTCCTTCCTTCTGAGTACCACGTTTCTTATATCTCAATCCATCTGTAAAACAACAGCATTTGTTTCAAAACAAGCAAAATAACAATTAGCTTCAAATTGAATATAAATAAACAAACAAATACTGAAAAATGAAACAATTTAAAAAACAGAAAAAAAAAACTCCATGATTTGGTACTCTAAAAGGATTCAAATTTACCAATGATCAATTAGGATCAAAAGGGAAAAAGAAAAAGAAACCGAACAATTTAAAACTGGAAGATAGGTAAAAGGAAAGACAAGACCAACCAGGTGAGATTTTCTGAGAAGTTGACACATTGGACGACACCGTTTGAGGATCCATCAGCTTCAGTTGCTACAATTCTACAACTTTCAACAAGAGAGCTAAGGATGGATCGGATGCTTTCTTCTTCGGAATGGGCAACGAGGGAGAAAGGAAGCAACTGATCAAGGTTTCCTAGTACTGGGGTTTAAGGTTTTTCAAAAGGAATGAATTTACGGAACCACCCTTGTTCTGTTGGTAATATATTTGTTGTATTGAGGGTAAAAATGAAATTTTAAAATATTGTAATTTTATTTTTTGATAAAGTACTAAACTGAGAGGTAAGAAGTAGCGGCAGTATTGGAGAGGGTAAAAATGAAATTTACAATATTCTAATTTTGTTTTTTGATAAAGTACTAAACTTAGAGATAAGAAGTAGTAGCGATATTGGTAAAAAAAAAAAGTGGCAGCGGATTATTTCTTCAAGCCCATAGTCACACTCCCGATGGAGGGTAAATTTAGTTGTCCCAAACTAAGTAAATTGACTTTCTTTTTTTTTCAAGAGTCATAGTTTGAAAATAAATGCATAAATCTCAAATATTAAATTTTGAATTTTAAATTGTTAGATATTTATTTCTTAAAAAAATAATTGTATATATTAATTAAATTAAATTTCATATTCAACTCATACTCCTTTTATCATAAAAAAAAATTATTTGATTTAATTTATCAATTATTTTTACTCTAGGCTCCTACCTATTTTAGCTCATTTATTGATTGAAACTATCTTTGAGTTTATTTAGCTCAATTTTATGCATGTCACTTTATCATACATTTAAATTTCAAAACATCTCTAGTTTCTTAGGTAACTTTGCAGATTTTTTTTTTATTTTAGTACATTTTTAGGTAAAAAATTTCAATTCAATTCTTTCAATAAAAATACATACACATGTCAAGTAGGTGCTTAGATCCAAATTGTTATTGCACTTGAATACTCTAGTTAAATACACTAATTCAGCTTTTTTTTGTTCATTGCAACTTTGTAAGTGAAAAATAAAGAGAAGATTAATTGTTTGGTGTTTATTGATGGTGTTTCAAGTGAAAGTGAGTTGAAACAAATCTGGATCTGTAGTAAGACAATATAATTAAAAGGGTATCAAAATTTATTTTTTGGGAGTGTGCTTCAATACTCAAATTAATCCAAAGTACTAGGATTCAGAAAAAGAAAATGAGTTGCAAAGAATGTTAAGGAAGCTTAAGGATGAAGAGTTCATAATAGTATATCTAGATTTTCTTTTACTTTATATATAAGACATGGGATATTGATATAACTGAAATAGATGACAGTTGATGAGAATTTCATTTAGAGCTCAAAGAGGGTCCATATAAGGGAGCATGTGCTGTATTTAATGATTCCAAACAATTTAAAGATAAGTTAAATTATCGTGAGATGACGTATTGATAAGACGTTAGTAGAAATAGTTGGGCTAACTGTCTCTATAGATGAAAAAGTCCTAATAGGTGAGCAACTCAAAAACAAACTCATATAGTGGCGAGTAACTTAGATGATGATCTTCCTTAGTATTTGATATAATAATCGAATTTATGTTGATTTGACAAGTGTGAAATTTGATTTTATTGACTAGACAATTAAATGTAACAAAGTCATAATATTATTATTAAGTTTACTTGCAAATAGAAGGTTAAATACTCAATTAAGAATCTAGCGTTTCGATATTTTTTTAATTAAGGATATCAATTTTAATTTAGATCAATGTAAGACTAATCATTTTTTAATGTATTCAAATCAAGATTACTTAACGATAGTGATTTGCATGCACCGCTAAGTTTATTTTATCATTAATTTTTTTGGTTTTTTCTTAATTAAAAATGCTTTTAAATGTGACCTGAAACCAACAAACTCCCATAAACCTAGAAATCAATGATTGGCCATCACTGTAACCACCATCGATTATTGACCTTCATCCTCAAAATGAGCCCAAAATTCATCCATCGATCTATCTTACTTTCTTGTTGATGTTATTTATGTGGATTTTTTAACAAGCACTTGAAAATGCATAAATCTACAAAAAAAAAAAAGACCCGTAATTTCAACCCTAAAAAAATCCCACCTTCCTTGCTCCAAACGATCCTATTTTTCATTATGTTTTTCTCCTTCACATTTCTTTCCTTTTTGCACTTTCAAAATGCTCCAAACTTCTCCTTAATCACGGAGCCATTTTTTTTCTTATTCAAAGAAAGATCGAATATTTGAAGAAACTAATGATGACATAAAGTTGAAGATATATTGCCATGAAACCTATTTGATTGTAGATGAAGAGCGACAAAGACCAAAAAAAAAAAAACCAAAACCCTTTCTACTAACAACCAAAAGCATGAAAAAAAAAACACTAAAAGCACATCTTTAAAAAAGGAACAATAGCACCAAAAGCAATAGAAACAATAATAAAAAATAATAATAATGAAAAAGGAGAGGCAGTTTTGGGTTTTGAGTGCTTTAAATTATTTTTTCTCTAGATATTTTATGAAAAAGGGAGTTTTGGCTTGAAAAAATAAATATTAAAAGGAGAAAGTGTTTGGCCAACGAAAAAAGATGGTATTTGAAATTTTAAGCCATGACTTTGAGTCCAGATCTAGGCGGTTCAAAGATGTTTCGAGCAAAACCAAGCACGGATCTAAAAGAAAAAAAAAGTCGATGAAAGCATTTGGTATAATTTTTGGATCGAAAAGTAAGCGACCAATAATAATCGATAATGGCCAACAGTGACTAAATGACGGTAAACACAGTGGTGATGACAAGAATCTAGGCAGCTTGATTTTTAAAGAGAGAGGTGCTTTCTCTTTTTCTATTAGGGAAAGAAATATAAATGTAAAAAATAAGTAAAAATTTTTCTTTTAGCTTTTATAGTAAAAAAAAATCACTCTAGTTTAACATACGTGTATCACACTGCAGTGATGGAGTCCTAATTAAATTGAAAATAATTATATAAATTAATTAAATTAAATTTCAGATTCAACTCATACACTTTTATCATAAAATTTTTTTTAACTTAATTAACCAATTATTTTTACTTTAAGCTCCTAGCTGTTTTAACTCATATATTGATTGAAATTATTTTTTACTTTTTTAGCTCAATTTTGTGCATGTCACTTTATCATACATTCAAATTCAAAAACAACTCTAGTTCATTGGGTAACTTTATAGAGTTATACTTTTTTTATTTTAGTATATTTTTAGAAAAAAAATTTCAATTCAATTCTTCAATAAAAATACATACACATGTCAATTAGGTGCTTAAATCCAATTTGTTATTGCCCTTGAATACTCTAGTTAAATACATTGATTTAGCTTATTTTTGTTCATTGCAATTTTGTAATTGAAAGTAAAGGGAAGATTAATTAGTTGGTGTTTTTTGAGAGTGTGTCAAGTAAAAGTGAGTTGAAATTGGTTCGGATTTGTAGTAAAACAATATGATTAAAGTATATTTTTAATAAGCGTGCTCCAATACCCAAATTAGTCCAAAGTACTATAATTCAAAAGAAAGAAAATGAGTTACAAAGAATGTTAAGGAAGTCTAAAGATGAAAAGTTCATAATAGTATATTTAGATCTCATTTTACTCTATATATGAGAAACGGGGTGTTGATATACTGGAATAGATGACAATTGATGGGAATTTCATGTAAAGCTCAAGAAAGATCCATATGAGTGAACGTGTACCATATTTAATGATTCTAAACAAATTAGAGATAAATTAAATTATCATGAAATGACGTATTGATGAAATGTTAGTAGAAATAGTTGGGCTAACTATCTCTACGGATGAAAAAGTCCTAATAGGCGAGCAATTCAGGAACAAACCCATATAGTAGCGACGAGCTTAGATAATGATCTTCCTTAGCATTTGACATATTAATTGAATTTATGCTAATTTGACAAATGTGGAATGATTTCATTGACTAGACAATTAAATGTAACAAAGTTCTTAATATTATTATTAAGTTTAAGTGGCAAATAGAAGGTTAAATGCTCAATTAAAAATTTAACATTTTGATATTTTCTCAATTAAGGATATTAATTTTAATTTAGATCAATGTAGGACCAATCATTTTTTAATATGTTCAAATCAAGATTACTTAACGGCAATGACTTGCACACATTGTTAAGTCATTTTATCATTAAATTCTTTTATTTTTTTTTAATTAAAAATGTTTTAAATGTGACCTGAAATTGATAGCCCCTCATAAACCTAGAAATCAATGTTCAATCACCATTGTAATCACTGTCGATCATCACCTTTTATCCTTAGAATGAGCCAAAAGTTCACCCACCGATCCATCTTAACTTTCTCATTCATGTTATCTATGTGAATTTTTCAACAAACAATTGAAAATGCCAAAATCTACAAAGAAGACATACAATTTCAACCTCCAAAAAATCTCACCTCTTTTGCTCCAAACCGTCTTATTTTTCATTATGTTTTTCTCTCTACATTTTTTTCTTTTTCATACTTTCAAAATGCTCCAAACTTCTCTTTAATCACAATGTCATTTTTCTTCTTATTTAGAAAAAGATAGAATATTTGAAGAAACTACTAACAACATATAATTGAAGGTATGTTGCCATGAGATCCATTTGATTGCAAACAAAGAGTTATAAAAGATCAAAAAAAAAAAACCCTTTTTACCTAACAACCAAAAAAATAAAAAAAATCCATAAAAAAACTCATCCCTAAAAGGAGAATAGCAACACCAAAAGCAATAAAAACAAAAAAAAAAAGCAACGAAATAAGAGAGACAGTTTTGGGTTTTTAGTACTTTAGGTTATTTTAGGTCTAGATTTTTTGTGAAGAGGGAGTTTCGACTTGAAAAAATACATTAGGAGGAAAAGGTGTTTGGTCGATGAAAAAATAGAGTATTTTGAAGTTCTAGGCCATGACTGTAGGTCCAGATCTGGGTGATTCGAAGATGTTTCAAATAAAATCAAGCACGGGTCTAAAAAGAGGAGGTTGAGAAAAGCACCTAATGAAATTTTGGGGTTGAAAGGTGACGAGCCAATGGAGGTCGATAGTGGCTAGTGGTGACTAGACAATGACCAGGATAATGGTGACGACTAGGATTTAGGCAACTTGATTTTTAGAGAGGGATGCTCTTTCTTTTTTTATTAGATAGAGAAACAGAAATGCAAAAAATAAGTAAAACATTTTCTTTTAACTTTTATAGTAAGAAAAAAAATCACTTTAGCTTAATGTGCATATATCATACTGTAGTGATGGAATCTTATATTGAATTAACTCGAAAACATTTAATTTTACATTGAATCAAATTAAAAATAATATCTTTAATTGAAAAAATATTCAAATATTAGATTCTAAATTGAGCATTTACCCCAAATAAAATAACATTAGAGCATGTTGCTCAATTGATTAGTATTTTTTTTATTCCAAAAATATGATTTGAATATCTTATTTAAACAAAAAAAGTTAAAAATATACATGCAATTAAGTTAAGAAGAATAAAATGGTCAATGTCACTTTAATTGACAAAGTCTAATTTAAAACTCCAATTCTTCACGTTTTTAATTACAAGTTCAAGCAAAATTTTTTATTTAAATATATTTTAATAATATTTCTATTTTTTTTCATTTTTAGTTGATTCAATAGTTCACTTTAATAAATTGTCAAATATTTTTCCATTTTTTTTGTTGATATAGATTTTTAGTTACTTTTTTAATTGAGATTTTTAAAAAATTTAATTATAATTTTTGAAATTTTTGTTATTTTTAATTTTTTAATAAGTGCCCCTATTTCCCCTCTTTCTCTCTTTTTTTCCTTCGCTCTCCCTATATCATAAAATTCTAAGCCACAAATAGAGCACAAAATAGCAAAAGGTAGCACTATGTGCAAAAGAATGAAAAGAAACTAGAAAAAAATTTCTACGGTGGAAACTTTATTCAACCGTGACCATGAGCCATCCAAGGTGGATGGATTCTATAGCCTTTTGGGCTTTTAACTAATTTAATCATCAAGTGTCTTAAAAAGATTGTGAGACACTAAAATCATTGTACAACTTGAATGTATCCAATATGCTAAGATGTTGACACATGAAGTAATCCTCACATATTCAAATTGTAATTTGAGACATATTACAAGAATTTTATCAGGATGACATTTAAAATGCATGTTTTTAAAAATTTTATGTAATGAGAAAACGTACTCGTTCATTACCTTTCTGATACAAACGTGGGAATGTTTCTTTTATCTATTCAGAAGTTGTACAAGAAATGATGACCGCATACCTGTGTGTCTCTTAGATGGAGGGATAACTTTGAATAATAGCAAAAGTTCCCTTTATCGGCCAAAACAATAATTGAAAAACTTCTTAATTTATTGACAAGACATCACTTCAAGTTTGACTTTTGAGAGAAGAAAATTTGTTTTTTTTTTTTATACATTTATTTTGCTCCTTCAGATATATAACAAGTCACATGTAGTTTGGTTGAAAAAATTTTATCTCTAAACTGAAAATTAATCTCCCGAAAATTTTAATACACGTGAGATTGAGAATAAAAAAATAATTATAAGCTATAAATTTTAAATTTTAAATTGATTCGACCTAAAGATGAGAGAGGAGAGACTTATTTATACATTAAAAAAGTTGTTGTTTTAATAAGTGTATATTACTCAAATTTAATAAGTAGATTTAAAAATTTATATATTTATATTTTATAAAATATTAATAATATATGTAATTATATCGTATTTTATATAAAAATTAAAAATTTTATATAAAAATTTACGTTGATAATAAAAACATAAATTTTTTTTTTTATTAAATTTATATATAATTTTTATTAAAATTTTAACTTATATTATTTTATATATTTTTTCTTATTCTTCATATAATATCATTATGTCTTATTTTAGATTATCCTCCATATACCCACGAAAAATAAAAGTTGCTTATTTACAGAGTTGTAGAGATTGATTAACACTTGTAGAGTTTTCTTCACTCGTCTATTTTATTTAATTTATATTTATTATTATAATATTAAAATATTTTTTATTAATTTTTTAAATAAATTTTAAATTTAAATAAAAATATGTAATAATAAAATATTTCTAAAAATTTAAATTTAAATTTAAAAGTGTCTGTCCAAAATCCGACATATGACTTTGAATAAATTTACTTATTAATTTCTTGATATCGACTAATAATTCAACCTCATCAAAAGAAAAGGTAATAAAGGGGAAAATATGTTATTAAAATGTGTAAATATATATATATATATATATTTTGTACTACAATATTATGTATTAAGACTAAAATCTAAGCCATTAGTTCGTGAATCATAAATTATTATTTTTTAAAAAAAATATGAATTATCATCATAAAGCTAAGTGGGTTCGTCGCCGGAAATGAATGGAATTTATTGCTTTTTGGGTTTTAAACATGTTTGATAATCTCAAGTGCCGTAATGATTAAGACACTTGCAAAAATCTTTTTAATTTCATATATTTTGATTTTTTTACTAAAAATTAAAAATATTAAACTGGAAACTTATTTGATGTCGTTTTTTTTTTTTTTAAATATCATTATAAATTAAACTTTAAATTTCTTATATCCGGATAACTGCCGACAATGCTGACCGTAACCGTACACAGGCACACTCAATGTCAACACAAATTGTGTCAAAACTGAAAACTAAGAACCACGCATTCCGCATCTCAAATAGAAACGGTCCAAAATTATTATTTTTTTTTATTACTGCATAGAAACTATCCAGTTATTGGTCATCGATACGAAACCTTTTAAAAGTCAATCAGGCCTTGGTCATCTATGTGATTTTTTTTTTTTGTTCTTCTTTTTATCTTTATCTCCATAATTTTTAGATTGCATATTAAAATATTAGGAATTTAAAAAAAATAAAAATACTGACAGTATGTATAAATAATATAAATTTTAGAAGTAATAATGTAATATGTTTTTAGTGAGGTAAGTTTTCAAAGGGTGGAAAAGAATAAACAGCGCAAAAAGAATGGAATCCAAATCCAGATGTCAAGTTTTAATAGGCTGGAAGACTTTGAGTTAACTTGGTTGAAAATTGGAATTGAGTTGCAAATTGGAAGACTTTGAGTTGCAAACTGGCAAAGGCAACCGCTAAAGACTCTCATTCCAAAAACCAGCATACGAACAAACAAGAAGAAGAAAAGAGCGATCAAACTCAAACTCCAGCTGGGAGTAGTTTCTACGTGTCCATTAATTATTGGTCTGTCTCATTTTTACGCGTTTCAAGGTGTGACAGACAGTGTCACACACGGTCCCCCTCCCTATATAACTTATCAGTGCCACCTATATTTCGCGGGAGAGCTTATTTCACCAGCGAAGAAAAAGTAAACGGCATTTGCTTCTTGTCCCTTTCAATAAAAGCATACAAATCAATCATAGTTTTCATTTCTTTGGGCCTTTCTCTCCTTTTTTTTTTTTTTTTTGTTTTCTTCAAAGATTCTTGGATTTACACTTCACAATAAGAAAAAAGAAAGTTGGTGTCTCAGCTTGCAACTATCTTGGATACAGTCTCTCTCTGGTGAGCTCTGTTATGTTTCTTTCTGGGTGAATTCTATGTTCTTTGCCGGTTTTCTCGAATTTTTGTAGTTTTTTTTCTGAAATGGGTTCTTTGATTATTGAGTTCCTACTACATGCATGGTGTTGATTAAAATAAACTCCGAAGATATTTAAAGATTTGAAATTGATTAAACTGTAATCTTTTTGAGAAGCTTTGATCGTTTTAGCTTTTATTTAATTTTTCTTTTCTGGGGAGTATTGTTATCTCAAAATCTTGAAGGTTTCCGCGAATGGTTTCTTCGATTTTTGTGTTTTTGGTACATGCATGGTGTTGATATTCTGAGGTTGGTTGGTAAGAACTACTTTTTATGAATATATTGGAAGATTTGGAATTGCTAGAACTTAAAAGTATAACCATTTTGAGAGGGTAGGATCCTTATAGCTTTTATTTATTTATTATTATTATTATTATTATTTTGGGCTGAGTTCTGTTCTGTTCTTTCTAGGAAAATTCTGTATTCTTTCCTGGTTGAATTGCTTGTTATCTCAATTTTATGAAGTTGTCTCTCGAAGGAGTAACCTTTTCTGGGGTCTTTGATTACAGGTCAAGGTTAGTCTACTGATACACAAATGGCTATAAAGAAAAATAGGTTCATTCCAAGTTCTGCACCAGAAGAACTGAAGAAAGTTTTGAAAGCAGTGGCATCCGAATGGGGAGATATGATACAAGATATGGAAGAATTTCATGTGATTCCACTTAAGGGAGCTATGACTAACGAGGTTTTTCAGATAAACTGGCCTACAAAACATGCTGATCTTCATCAGAAAGTGTTGGTCCGGATTTATGGTGAAGGTGTGGAAGTGTTTTTCAATAGGGATGATGAGATTAGGACCTTTGAGTGCATGTCCAAGCACGGTCAAGGACCTAGGCTTCTTGGGCGGTTTCCAGATGGAAGGATTGAGGAGTTCATTCATGCCCGGGTATGTGAAGTTTTCTGTGAAAACTTAACTTTTATCTTTATGATGTCTAATTTTAGCAATACCCCGGGTTATAGAACCTTTTTTTTAATGTTAATAGTATAGTATAGAATAACCACATCTTAACTACAGTTCATAGATGATGCTTTATGAGTTGATGCTTTCTTTGCTTAATGATCTTCAAAAGTTGAGCATTTGTCTAGAACCATTAGAAGAAGACTAGATCATGAAGCTGCCTGATTTACTAAGAAATTATCCTCAGTTCTTTGTTCATGCCTATGAACATAATCAAACAAGTACCTCTGGAAAAGGAATTAACTGGCATAACCCAAAATTCCTTGTGCCCTCCAGTTGTTACTTAATGAAAGGTCTCCCGCTTCTTCCTCAATCTGTAAATGATATGCAAATTTTTGTAACATCAACTATTAATTTGTTTAGTTTCTTATTCACAAACATGGGGTGAGCTATGATAATCTATTTTAGCATCCAATGACTACTAGATTCAAGTAACTAATTTTGGGTATTTTTGCTTTGGGCTTCAAGCCGAATCTTTTGGAACATAAGGCTAAGAATCTAATGCTATTGTCTCTTGTTTTTATATGCTTGCCCCTTTCACTTTACTTTTTTTTTTTATTTACCAGACGCTCTCTGCTGCTGACCTCCGTGACCCTGGAATATCTGCTCTTGTAGCAGCTAAATTGAGAGAGTTCAACAATCTTGGCATGCCTGGTCCAAAGGATGTACTTCTCTGGGAGCGATTGAGGTACTATTATCCATATGTGACGTTATTGCTTTTATATTTTGAGTTGAAAGTATATGATCCCTTTTTGCTTCATACCAGGACCTGGCTTAGTCAGGCAAAAAAAATCAGTTCCCCAGAAGCTGCAAAAGAATTTGGCTTGGATATTCTGGGAGAGGAAATCAGCATCCTAGAAAAAGAGTTAACACAGGGCTATCAAGAGATTGGGTTTTGTCACAATGATTTGCAATACGGTAACATAATGATGGATGAAGAGACAAGAGCAATTACATTAATCGTAAGTTTTCTCTTTAGATATTATTAGTTGCTTGCAAGTATGGCTTCTATACAGTGCTTTCAGTTCTAGAGTTTAGCATTTTCTCTGGCATCAACTTTCTTGCTTTTCTTTCTTTTGGCCTGTGAAAGGGGAGACTGCTAAATGCGCATGTTGATTGAAGTTATAACCATCACCTTTTCCTTCTAAATAATTGTTAAACATGCATTTACTACTATTCCTCCGATCAACATATCAGAAAGTTGTTTTATTCAACCAAAAACTCTTGCACTCTTTAAGTTAGTAGTCAACATTTCAATAAATGGATCTCGGTCATTTTATTCTTCTTGTAGAAGACAGTAATAAGACTGGACAACTACTAAGTAATATATGTGCATTTTTGTGGAAATTGTTCTGCTTGATTTAATGGCAATATTATTTCATCTGTGGACTGCTCAGAGAGTAGACTAATGGTCAGCCAAATTGGAATTAGTCAATTGAGCTGTTTATCTGATTTATTAACTTCATGTTTTATCACTTAGTGAAGTCTTATTCTAGTTCAAAATAACAAGTTACTATATATCATAAAATCTTGTTTATTTCTAGATTTTTGTAAACTGAAATTGCAGATGAGGTCTGTATGGTGACAGCTGAAGCTTTAACTGCACTGAGTATATGAAACAAGTTGCAGCTGAAGCTTTAACTGCACTGAGTATATGAAACAAAGAGAAAAGCAAAAGATGAGAAGCCAAGGGACTGGGTCAGCCTCTTTCCTGAGATTCCTATTTATCTCTTAAAAAGCCCATATATTAGATAAGGATTTCAAAAATTTTGAGGCTTTGACTATGTGGGGATATTTAATGGGCCATGTTTTGTTTCCATGACTTTACACTCTTTACATATCATCTACAAACACTAAGTATGTTATCTATTCTCTGAAATAGGGAATGCAGGAAGGAAAATTATTGTTTGATGAACTTTCCATGTTTTCCTGAAATTTGCGTGCTTTTTTCGTACTATTTTTCTGATACTTTCTCTTTTGCATTGCTTACGACATGGTCTTTGGTGCAAATATTTCACATATTTTGGCATACATTTGTGGCTAACTTCCATGGTGTGAGTAAAAATGACATTTGCAGGATAGATAAATGAAATTTTGTGCTGATTATGCATGTTATAAGGAATTATTTATCCCTTTTTGCAGGACTATGAGTATGCAAGCTACAATCCTGTTGCTTATGATCTTGCAAATCACTTCTGTGAGATGGCAGCAAATTATCATTCTGAGACTCCCCATATTTTGGACTACAGCATATACCCTGGTGAGTATCTGTTGTAATTTTTAAGCATCCCATGTTAATTGGCTTCAAAATCATTGAGCATATTTAGATCTAATCATACCTATTCTTTCTGCATTTGGACAACAGATATGGAGGAGCGCCGAAGATTCATCTGTGCATATCTGGCATCTTCAGGTTAGTTATCATTCTGTGTACTGTATGGAAGAGTATTTGGCTAGAACCTAGCATAAAAAGAGTCTGACTACTCTAGTGAAGTATGTTATTTGTTTAAATGAAAGTCTCATTACTAGACTGAAGTATTTTTAAAGGCAACTAAATCATAAAGTGAAAGTGTCATCCCTAGGCTTTCTGTCTTTTGTCTGTAATTATGTGGGGTTTTTCCATGCATCTATCTATCAAACTTCATTCAATAAGGAAATTCAGTTTCCTTTTAGGCTTTTCAGTTGTCATCTTGGGGTTATTGGGAATATGGTCTTCTTTATTTAATGACTTTGGATAAAAGAAGAGCAGTGGGGTTGAATTAATCCGGTTTAGTTTTCTTGTCAAACTTAACTTCAGGCTTGAATATATCTAACAAGCCTTTACCCATATGATGGTACATATGAGTCATGTCTTGAAAATTTCTATGTTGATCAGTTCTAACATACCTTTTTTCCTTGATTGCATGCAGGAAATGAACCCAGTGACGCCGAAGTGGAGCAGCTACTTATGGATGCAGAGAAATACACTCTTGCTAATCATCTGCTTTGGGGCTTATGGGGAATCATCTCGGTAGGTGTTTCCAACTTCCTTTCATTGCTTTCCATTAACTTTCCTGTGAGAGATTTTGTGGACTAATTCTCTGATTGGTGTGTACAGGGTCATGTAAACAAGATAGATTTTGATTACCTGGAGTATGCGAGGCAGAGGTTTCAGCAGTACTGGTTAAGAAAGCCCTTGCTCTTGGGTTCCTGACTCGTTAGGCATTGCCCATGTTGACAAATAACAATGTAGCCTTAAGTGCAGCTATAGATTTGCAAAGGTTATGTAGAATGAATCTGGCCTGTTGATGGTGCCTATAAATTGCATGAGAATTCTCTGTTTTAAGAATTGTTAATTTTGTTATTCAAATTCTTAAAGAGTTAAAAACTTCTCAAAAGTTTAGATGAAAGCTGTTTGGAATGTATGTTTGAAATCTGATTTTTTTTTTTTTTTTGGGAATATTTACGACATTTTTTGTTGCCAGGAATGGGAAAGGAGTATAAACAGTCTGTTGAAGGCATCGAGGATTTCCTGGGAAATCATCTTTGCATCTTTTTGATGATTCCTTGAGCAAAATGCTGCTGAATTGGCCTATGTCTTGAGTGTAGAAACAAAAGTCTTACAGAATGAATTGAAGAATAAGATGCTTTCTCAGTAAAAGAGGATTTCTCTATGGCATTATTTGAAAATATAATTGCCTTCAAAGTGTCCATTCTAAAGCAAAGCGCATTAGCAGAAGCATTGTAACATAAAACTGCTTGACCATTCGAAAAATGGCATTAGATAAAAATAACTATAAGGAATGTTTATCTTTTTTCCCTACATTAAAGGAAAAACTAAAGCAAAGATTTGAACAGGAATTTGCTTTTGTTAGGAGGCTTTGAGTTTATGAAATTTTACTTGCGAGGTGTGAGTTAATTTAGGATCAATGTAGATGGGCATAGGGATTTAAACAGCAATATTGGTGAAATTAATTATGATAGAGGTAAAATTAAAATCAATGGTAAAGATATATATTTGGATGCAAATGTAGCAACAGCAGTGAGGTGAAATGTAGTGAAGAAGAAAAGGATCATTAAAGACATTAGATTAAATTTTGTAAATAAGAAAATTTTTAGTATATTTTCAAAATTTATGAGTTAATAATTAATTAAATTTTATTTTAATTATTTTTATATCAAATAAAATTAAAAAAATTTTATGCATATTATTTTATATTAAAAAATTAGAATTTCAAATATTAAAAATACAAAAATACTTCAAAATATTTAACATTTGGAATATAGTACTTGTTACCATTACAAATGATATTAATCTTAAAGATAAATATAAATCATATAACAAAATTGTTGAGGGTATTTGGTGGTTAAAAGAGTATAATGGTCTTTTTCCTTATTAGGAGCCCTCAGCAGATAGTCAGAGGTAATTCGGACATTTGTACCGACCTAATACATTTAGTGCCATGTTAGCTCAGCCTTGTCGTTATTGTCCGCCAAGGATCCTATACCTCTTAGTTATAAATACGAACATCTAGGCAACACTAAGGCAAGTTCCATCTACCTTTAATTCTTTATATTACTTTCATTTCAACTTCACTTATTTTGACTTATGTGTTGTAGTGCAAATGTAAGGAACATTTACTGTCTTTACCTCTAATTGCTTTTCTTTTCTGTTTTTCCAAGAACACCTTTACATTGGAGCTCGACATAAGCATTTGGCATGCTAGGTAGGGGACTTTCCCACTCACTAGTTGAGCACGAAATAATGCCACCTAGGAAGAGAACTTTAGAAAAAGGAAAAATAGTCATTCCGATTGGGACATAAACACACAACAGCTAACATTCAGATCGATTTGCCCCACCACAAGTCGATCTGACCATGGAACAATTCTAAGCTTTGACCAAGCAAAAACACACAATAACTAACACTTAGACCAACATGCCCCACCACATGCTGATCCAACCATGGAATAATTCTAGGTTCTGATCGAGCAAATTCAAGCCTTTAAACAAATGCTATAGACCATAACCCCATTATAAGCTTCGAAAGTGCTTGACCTAGTTACCCTGGTCAACAGGATGCGAAAAGACAGTTAAGTTATGAAGAGATGGAAGCTTACTCGGCCTAAAAAAAAAAAGAGCATAATGCCCCAGCTTGCCATTATCTTAGCTATAACATGACACATGCCACAACCCAAAAATTCAAACAAACAAATCTTGAACACCAATAAAAAAAAAAGACCTGAAAGCTCAACTACAGACCATAAAGAAAGAGTTGAAAGCAAAAATAATGGTATTCGAGGATGAACTCAAATTCTTGGAAACCTCACCTTTTTATCGAAGAGATTGACAGAACCATGCCTCCTAAGAGGTTCAAAATACCGACCTTAGAAACTTATGATGGTACTTCTGACCTTTTCGATCATCTAAAACTTTATAGAACTAACATGATGATGTAGGGCACAGATGAAGCTTTGATGTGTAAGGGCCTTGCTATCACCCTTAAGGGTGTAGCTCGATCATGATATAACAATCTGGAATTGAGGTCAATCACAACATTTAAAGAACTCAGTCACTCATTCTTGTCCTAATTTGTAAGTAGTCGAACAACAAAAGAGACAACTTTAAGCTAAATGTCGATTCACCAAGGTCGCAATGAATCTTTAAAAAGTTATGTCGCTTGTTTTAATATGAAAGCTCTGTGGGTAAAAGACTTGGAGCAAAACAACCATTGTAGCTACCCTAATAAGTGGACTCAATAACAAAAAATATCATCTAAAGTTGACCTTATTACTAGAGCCACCTAAGACTCTGGCCGACGTCTTACTCATAGTTAAAAAGTACATAAATGCCAAAGCTATAATGAGAAACAATCGAAGTGAAAGAGGCTCATCTTCCCTCATTAGTAACCGAGGTGAGAAAGGCTCATCCCCCTTCATTAATTGTAAAAAAAGTAAAGATTTCTATAATTCTCCCTCAAGAGGGAGACAACATAGGGTTAGAAGCTCTAATGAAGAAATAAATTGCATAGCACTGAATACCTCTTAAGAGAGGATTTTGATGCAAATTGCGAGAAACCCAAAGCTCAAATTACCAACGCCACTAAGGTAAATCACGAAAAGGGATTTGACTAAAAGATGTGCCTTCCATAAGGACATAGGCCATAATATTAAAAATTGTGTCAATCTAAAAAATGAGATTAAAGCTCTAACTAGAAAAGGTCAACTGAAAAGATTTATGAAATAGCGAAAACAAACCCAAGTCATATCAGATTCTAGACAAGATTGAAGAAAACCCATCCAGGCAAAAAGGTAAGCTAGAAAAAAACAAATGGACAAAAGTTTGAAAAGATTAGTCAAGGTAAGAAAAAGGTCGAACTGATAACAATAGGTCGATTGTTGGAGTAATTAATGTAATAACTAAAGGAAGCTAAACCTCGACCAAAAGAAAGTTCAACCTAAGATGATTGTGGCTATAGGTACTTCGACAAAGAAAAAAAAATTAAAAAGATGAATCGATCTCATTCAGCTCAAAAGATTTAGAAATGATTCAATACCTACATGATGATGCTATAATAATCACAGTCATGGTATATAATTACATAGTCAAAGGGATCATGTTTGACAATAAGAGCTCTACCAACGTCATGTACTACGACACTATAAAAAAATGAAAATCAGTGAAGATCAATTACAATGATCACTACAACCTTAGTGGGATTTGGAAACTAACAAGTACCAATAAAAAGAACTATTAAATTATCGATCTCTCTAAGCACAAAACCTAAATCGGTCATCTTTGTCATAAAGTTCATGGTTATGAACGTCTTATTTACCTACAATATGATATTAGGTCGATCAAGCCAATCTATTATGAGGTTCATAGGCTCGACTCTCCATCTGAAAGTAAAATTTCTAACACCTCAAAGAGTTAAAGAGTTAAAGAGAGACCATTCTAATGTACGATAGTGTTATGTCATCATAATGAAAAAAGGACTGGGAAAAAGACTAATAGTTCAATCGAGATTGAGAACACTAAAGAAAAGTAAGCAAAGAAATAAAAAAAAGTAAGAAAGCAAGAGCAAGAACATATAACGTAAGACTGACCTAGCAGAAGTGCGCTTTTAAGTTGCTCCAAGCTTTTAAGCTCAAATGAAAAGACATATTCTATTTCATTTTTTGAAAATTTGAAGTAATTCCAAAGATAATCGAGCTCTCAAGCCAATACAAACAATTACATGTCATTTGAATTGAGCTAATACACCAGCCAAAATATAGTTTGAAATGAAAAATATATACCAATTCAATCATATATTTCAACAACTTACCAATAACATACTAATCATTACGTCGGGATTTGTCTTCACAAGAAATGATCCCAACTTAACCAAATAAAAAGAGATAATTGATCAAAAACCTAAGTCAGATGAAAATCGAGCTAAACTGGTAGATGATCTTATAACTATACAATTATGGGATAATATTCCTGAAAAATATATACAAATCAAAATGAAACTCCAGCATAAAGATCAATTAATTCAGCTTCTGAAAAATAACATTGACCTCCTCACTTAGACACTGTCCAATATGCTTAGAATTGATACCTAGATAATGGTTCATAGGCTGCAAACTAACCCCAATGTAAAATTAGTTTTACAAACAAAGAGAACCTTTACCTTAAAAAGATAAAAGGCTATCAAGGAGGAGGTTGACAAATTATTACAAGCAAGCTACATCAGGGAGGTTTATTACCCTAATGGATAGCTAATGTGGCCATGATTAAAAAACACAATGAAAAATGAAAGATGTGTGTTGACTTTACCTATCGAACAAAGCATACCCAAAAGATAGTTTTTTCCTCCCTAGCATAGATCGACTAGTGGATGATAGCACCAAACATGGCATTTTTAGCTTTATGGATGCCTACTCTAGTTATAACTAAATCAAAATACTGAAAGACGATAAGAAAAAATAACTTTTATTACCAAGAATGACTTTTACTATTACAAGGTGATGCCATTCGGATTAAAAAAATATAGGGATGACCTATCAAAGTTGGTTAACAAGGTCTTTAAACATTAGATTAGCTGTAACATATGTGGATGACATGATAGTTAAAAGTAAAAGTTTGGCTGAGCATTTAGAAGATCTTAAAGGTACTTTTAACATCTTAAAAAAGTATAAAATGAGGCTTAACCAGAGTAAATATGCTTTTGAAGTTACGTATGAAAAGTTTTTTAGTTACATGATTAATAAGAAGGGGATAGAGGTGAACCCAAAAAAGGTTTAGGCAATCATAAACATCAAAGCACCTACCTTAATAAAAAATATACAAAAACTAATTAAAAGAATAGTCACCCTAAACAGGTTTATGTTTAGGTCAACAAAACGATGTCTATCATTCTTTAAAATTTTTATAAACATTTCTAACTTTAGGTGGACCCTTTAATGCCAAAAAGCCTTTGAAAAACTCAAAAAGTTCTTATATTCTCTACCTATCTTGTCCAAGCCTAGGTCTAACAAAATCTTATACTTATACATGGCCACTATAGACCAGGCCATCAGCTCTATCTTGGTTCGAGAAGAATAAGAGAAGCAAAAATCGATTTATTTTATGTGTAAGGTGTTGACAGGGCCAGAAACATACTATATTGGTATAGAAAAATTAGCTTATGTGATTATCACTTCGGCTAGAAAGCTTAAGTCGTATTTTCAAGCTTATGCAATCTATGTACTGATAGATCAACTACTGAGATAGGTCTTATAGAAGCTAGAATTATCTGAAAGATTAATCAAATGGGAGCTCATCAATTTGACCTACATATACTACTTAGGTTGACCTTGAAATCTTAAGTGATAGCATGTTTCGTTATAGAGTTTACCTCGGCCTATCCTGAAAGATAACCTGAGAAAGACAAAAAACTCCAAACAAAGAGAGGTGGAAGCTTTTTGTCGATAGATCGACCACGAACCATAATGAAAGAGCTGACCTTATTTTGATCAACTCAGAAGGATTACAATATTAATATGCCTTAAAATTTAGATTCAGGGTATCTAATAATAAGGTGAAAAATGAGGCAT